AACAAATTATTTCTCTGTCCCTCAGTTTCTTCATCTATAAATGAAACTAACAATGAAACCTTCTTCCTGAGTTTTATTGTAGGGCTAAAATAATACATATAAAGGACTCAGAAAAATACTCCACGAATAAAAGCTGTTTTATTAGCTAATAATCCAGATTAGCTGGGATGACAATATAAATTACAAATACATTCACTGGTCTGTAAAATCTGATTCCAAAAATAACCAGTCACCCTAGAAAGACCCTTAGTCAACCCTCAAACATAGGGAAAGGGGAGACAATTTTGCAAAGATAAATTTTTTTCTGTCTTCAAATTAAAAAATGCACAGCTAGATATGGTGATACAAGCCTATAATCCCAGCTACTCAGAAGGCTGAGGCAGGAGGATTACAAGTTCCAGGCCAGCCTGGGCAACTTAATTAGCCACTGTCTCAAAATAAAGAAGGGCTAGATCAATCCCAACACACACACACACACACACACACACACACACACACACACACACGGCTTCTAACTCAGCATGAAGCTTCAAAGCCAGAGTTTCCTCGTTATTGACAAAAATGGTTTATAAACTTTTCTACCTTCTGAATTACAAGACTGTAGGATTTATGTTTTAATGGAAATAGCTGAAATGTATCTTTAGTTATCATAATCATAGTCATTATAGTAGCCTATATATAGAATAAAATAGCTCCCGTGTGTGTGTGTGTGTGTGTGTGTGTGTATAAAATAAGGACATGCATTAAAAAAAGCAGACTTATTCAACTCAACTGCTAGTCTTAAAATATGGATAAAAAGTAGTAAGGAATATAAAATTGCTAAGTCTTCGAAGGAACTGAAGACCAAAGACACTGGTTATTCAACAATAACAAAATGATTTATAAAATTTAAATGTAGTTAATAATTAATTTCTCAATTAAAATGTACTATTACATTTTGCCATGGTAATTTTTCAATTTTTAGCAAACACAATGTCTTAAAAAGGTAAAGATTCAAAACTTTTTAAAAAGTAAAACCAATGACACAAAACTCTAAATAAACTGAATACAGGAGATAAAAAAAAAAAAAAGTAGAAATCCATATTTAAGTGTAGATTGTCACAACATAATGCCTTTTTATTTTTATGTGGTGCTGAGGATCGAACCCGGGTCCCACCCGTGCTAGGTAAGCGCTCTACCGCTGAGCCACAATCCCAGCTGGATTTCTACTCTTTAATTTCTTTTTTTTTTTTTTTTCCCTTTGCAATGGAATCCAGAGCCTCATACATGCTAGGCAAGTGCTCTGCCACTGAGCTACACACCCAGTCCTTCTTTTTAAATTTTGAGACAGGGTCTCACTAAGTTGCCCAGGTTGGCCTAAAACTCCTGATCCTCCTGCCTCAGCTTCCTGAGTGAGATTAAAGGTGTGTGCTATCACGTCTGGCCTATAACTACAATTTCTTATTCAAAGTTAATTTCATATGACATAGAAAAAAAATACTTTCATTATCAAAACTTGAGAAGGAAAACATTTTTATTTTTGTGAATTCTGATAGCTAGTAACCCTCTGCCTCCCCAAAAAGAATGAATGTCTACTGGTTTTCATCATTTAGAGTATCACATTTCTATATATAGTTCACATGCTCATGAATGTTGTGTGTATGACAGATGCTTTGAGATCTTTTCATGGTCACTCAGTCTCAGAATAGAATAAGGCAACACAGAGCAGTAAATTATATAACACTGCCATATCAGACAAAGCCACAAGGGCTAGTGGAAGCAATTTTAAGACTAAAGAGATAAGATTATATCACTATTCCCCAAAAGTGGATTGTGTTATATTTAAGTCTTTAAAACTACAATTCTTATTCTCAGACATTAAACTCTACTCTCAGGAAACCACTGAATATGTACACAGGGTTTTGTCATTTTCCTGGGAGAAATTAAAACCTCAGTATTTTTCTCTGGTGGTTATTACCCTGCAATAGACATAAGCATCTATCAAAAAGCAGTACTATGCCTAAATGTAGACTACTCCTTAGCCTTAGAATTATTTGAAACATCAGAAAAATAATACTCAGTTATTTAGCTAGGAAAAAATTGAAAGACCTTTAACAGCATTAAAAAGAAAAATAGGAGCACCACCCAAAAAATAAATAAATAAACAAACAATGCTACATCAGTCAAGGAAAAAAAAAAAAAAACAGAAGTACTCCTTTCTTCATATTTCCTCATCCAGCTGGACAGAGATTTTCCAGCCCAATTAAAAAGATACTCAAAATAGCCTAAAATTAGTAATAAGCAAAACATAGCATCTTCTTTTTAAGGCAATGATTTAACTCAGAGAAAACCTGAACCTAAGTTTTATTCAGCTCAACTCAACAAAAAAATGTCTTCTGTGTTCTAAACATTCTAAAGCCTAAAGATACCAAGATGAGTAAAGTATAGTCCTTGCCTTGAAGAATACACTGTCCACTGGAGACAAACTATCACTAGGTGAGATGGAATATGCCTATGACAATTACCTGGGAAGCTAAGGCAGGAGGATCACAAGTTCAAGGCCAGTCTGGGCAACTTATCAAGACTCTCAAAATAAAGTAAAGATTTGGGACGTACCTCAGTGATAGAGCACTTGACTAGCATGTGCAAGCCCTAGTACTGGGGGGGGGGGTCAAACTATTATTACATGGTATAATAAAGAAGGGCTATAATGGAAGTGTGCACTAGGTACACTAAGTACCTGGAAACACAATAAAGGTGGCCAATAATTCTACCCCAGTCATAAGGTTTAGGTGAGCACAAGGTGGGGATGGCTTCGGAGTTGCATTACACAAACAGCTAGGCAGAAAAAGGGGCTAAGAGTAACAAACATTCCAGCCTAAATCTCACTTTAACCTTAAATATCAATTCTTATTATTCTGATGTCTCTAGGAAAAAAGAAAACTCCTGTCTCAGCTATTCAAATGCAACATGTAAAAAAATCACAATGTCCACAAGCTTTTTTGGTCTTATCATACTGCTGTGTGATAAAGAAAAGGGCTTGGTCAGTAATCTATTAAGTTGAATAACTAATAGGAAACAACCAAAGATTGTAAACGCTGACCCTACAAACAATAGCAAAACTGGCCATAAAGGATAGGGGAGGCAAGTCCAATAAACAGAATTTCAAATAATCCCATATGTACCATGTAGTAAATTAAAATGCCACTTTAAATAGCCATATTTAGGAAGGATATTGAGTACAAAGCAAGATAAACCATTTGGTAAAGTTCGGGGATTCTTTATTCACTGGGAACATCTAAAGATCAAAACAGTGGTTACTTCTGAAACATAAAGGCCTCTTCCTTCTTATAGATTATTGGTCTATTTTATCCTGTGGTCCAATACATTCCAAGAAGTTAGATAACTGCAAAGGCTCTAGCTGTTTCATTTGTTTAAAAAAAGTTTTAAGTTTGCCTTTCAATATGGACTCTGGATAAAGAGCAACCCAAACCACATGACTTAATCCAAAATTTAGGACCAGGTTATAGTTGAGAAAACTAAGATGCAGAGAAGCTGGTTCTGTCCAATGACTTCATGATGATCTCAACTTCCAACCAGCTCTAAGGGTCCAAGGTCTTTGACTCCAAGAAGTTTGCTTTTTTTGAAAACCTTGAATTTTACCCAAATTTGGAGGGGGAGGGAAGCCAGGTTAATGATCAAGTCAGGAAAAAAGAGAAAATGACAGAATACTGGGCAAAATTATTTATCTACAATGTCTGTCCCAAGATCATCAGGAACCTTATGTAGATGCAGTAGTTTCTCCTCCTTTCTGAAGAGGAAATAAAATGTAATAGCAAGAAAAATATAGGCAGAGTGTAGAAAAAAAGAAAAGTTTGTTGCTGTAGCAAAGCAACTAATAGGACATCATAAGAAAGCAGCAGGGCCTGCCAAGAAGTGTTCTGACAGAATGGAAACTGCCCTGTTATCAAGTATCCCAACTCTACAAACTCTTGGGCACATTGCTCCTCACCTGAAAAAGAGGATGCCACCACCTGTGCGAAAAGGAGGTTGTGGGGATTGGGAATAAGGTTAAAGGGTCTGTCTTTGGAAACTATCTGATAAATGGTGACAAGCTGATCTGAAAAGTTCATTTGAACTTTTTATATTTTTCAATTCATACCATGTAAATCTTTGTCTAGACGCATGCATGGAAGAATTACAAGGAAATGTCCAATGCTTGGGCTCTTTCTTTTGAAAACTCAATTCTCCCATTTTTCCTAAAGTGAAAAGATCTTGTGTGGTTAAGAGAAAGGACTGGCAAGCGGGAGGGGCCGCCTGTGCCCTCACAGAGGGAACCGACTGTCAGCTCTCTGAGGGCAGGCGCAGCAGTTACCATCCGAAAACTTCCCTACAGCAAACTGAAGGCTGCAGCCCCAGGCTCCTCTAAGGCCTTAGGACACCCAAAACATGGGCCCACAGTACTTCTTAAACATCCAAACTCTTCAATACAAACTGTAATACTACAATTGAAGACAGGTGCCTCACATCGAGAGCCCATGAGGTAACCATCACCAAGCCGCACTTATCAATAATAAGACACTAGGAACACATGGACGGCAACAGAAGGTTCCACGGACTTGGTGGAACTGGAACCCAGAACCTCGCGAAGGGCTGGGAGAAGTCCTCCAGGGGGAGGCCCGAGGGCCTCCGAGCGCCTGCCAGAGCTATCCGCCCGGCAGGACCCCGGCCCGGGACCAGACGGCGCGCCGGACGCGCAGGCGGTGAGGGTCGCAGGCCCTTTTTCCTCCGCAGAGGGCAGGGCCGCTGGCGCCAGGAAACTGACAGCTCGCCCGCCCGCGGGCGGCGGCTCTCGGCGGGGCCGGGCCGCGCCCCCTCCGCTCCCGCCCGGGCCCAGGGCGCCCCAGCCGGCACCGCGCGCCTCACCCGGTCGGAGCTGGAGGCCGCCGTCGCGGCGGCTGCACCACAGCGCGCGCTCGCCCTGCTGCAGGATGTAGTGGTCCTTGGCTTGGAAGAGCTCCATGCCGGCCCCGTGCGCCGAGGGAGGCGGCGGCCCGCGGGGGGCGCCCAGGGCGTCCTCGTCTGCGCGACCGCCTGAGCCCGCGCCTCAGGGAGTGGTCGAGGACCCGCAGAGCCGAGTAGCTGGCCCGAGGAGAGCCCCCGGTGCCCAACCCGCCCGAGGAAAATGCGCCCCGGCGGCGGCGGCGGCTGCCGAGGAGGTCGCTCCCCCGGCACCTCCCCTTCCCGGGCTCCTCCCCCGCACCTCCCCACCCCCGGCTCCGCCCTCCCCGGGAGTCTCCCCCGACCCAC